CGCGGAGCCTTCGCCCGGGTACTGCCCCCACCCTCTCCCGCGGAGCTGCCCGGGCATGAGCTGGGGGTTTAATTACTTTTCTAATTTTGATGGGGATTTACGGTGCTCTGAGCGGGGGAGGGAGGTTCAGCGGTCCCTCGCCCTTTGGGAACAGAAATGTACATCTCATGAGGAGGCAGCTGGCAAAGAAAAGCCGAATAAATCGGTGTGTTGATGACGATTAATCAGTTATTTTCCTTTGAGGCAGCAGATGTGAGGTCGCGCCGCGGAGCGCCTTGGGCAGGTCGGATCCCCGAGGCGGGGAGCCGAGCTCTGCTGCCATTTTCCGCCGGCCCGAGCCTGGGGGAATTGCAGGGAGTGGGTCTGTCACACCCGCAGGCTGGAAGGACACCACGGTATCCAGGTCTTGCTCACCTGCCCTCGGTACTTGAGGTGGTGCAAGATTGTTGGTGGTTTCTCATGGGTTTGCTCTGTTGTCTCAGACCTTCACCCTTTTATCTGCTTCACTGCAGGTAGCGGTGACTGGAATCCTTCAGGTGTGCCAGCACACACCAGCAGCAGGACAACGCTTGACTAAGCAGGAGGACTTTTTTCGTATCTAAAGCTTTTAATAGGGTGAAGTAAAATTTCTCCATTTTCCCTAATAGCCTCCAGGAAGGCACAGGTCTGGGTCTGCCTCGTTTTTCTGCTGTGAGATGCCAATTGCCTAAGGATGGGGAGTAGGAGAACAATCCCATAACCTGCTCAGCAGTGGTTAAAGTGCTGGATTATGTGCATTTGATGAGGACATTTTTAATGAAGAAGGAGATTGTAATATAGTTTTAATGCCTCTTGCATTACTTGTTTTTCTTCCTTCAGTATTTGAAGCTAGGGGATTTTTCAAATTTCCCAAAGTATTTTTTAATTAGTGTTTTACTGTAATTATGTGAAGGCATGATTTATCACTCCATAATTGTCAGAATTCTGAAATAGAAATTAAATATATCATGACACGATCAGAAATAACCGATTCTATAAGAATATTTCCATTAAATACTAACAGAATAAAATAAGTCTGAAATTCTGATACTCTTTTCCTTTCTTTCCCAGCCTCTATATACACAGGATTCTTGCAAGCAAATTAGTATCCATTTAGAAGCTGAAAAAAAGGCCTTTTGCAGATATTTAGCCTAAACTATCCCAACTTCTGTTAGACATAGCCCATCTTATAGTTTGTGGATTTTGTTAAGAAATGAGCAAGTAAATATATGCACACATTTTGATGTGGTGGTCTACAAAACCTTTCATCGTCCAGAGCTAGAACACCAAGTGTAAGCTCACAATTTAAATAGAAGCAACTTAACCCATTTACAAAACGAAAAAAATTATAGAGTAGTTTGGTTATAAGATCAAATTTCTAAGGAACTACTTAGTATTCACTATTCTTGCATTCATAAAATTTAAGGAGGTCACACTTTACTCATTTAACCATGGTGTCACTAAGTGCCTATTCCAGTTCTAGGCTTTGCTTATAGAAAGTCACACAGAGAGGGCAGTGAAGCTGTGCTGGAGTCCAGACATGGCAAGTTAAACATGAAAAGACATGAAATGAGCTCTCTGTATATGGGTTTGCATAACAAAAGTTACAGATTTTTCTTACCATTCTTTTGTTCTCTCCATGCAAGCATACTCTTTACAGCCATTACCTAAACATCTTCAGCATTTATTAGTCATTTTGAACCTCAGCAAGAACTTCAGAACAAATACAGCTTTAATAATCTGCTCTCAAGATACATAACTAAGGAGTTGTAGCCGTCTCTGCACTGTTTTGTGGGTTTTCTGTCACAGAAAGATGGAGAGGCTGAACTTTTACATTGCCTTTCCATTGCCTATTTTGTCTACAACTATGCTGACTTTTGTCATAAACACACAGACTGCCTTTAGCATTCTCACCAGAATAAATTCCACTAGTAATAATTAATTTAAAATATGTTCCCAACTCCAAAACTCATCTCTGACCCAAGATTCTCACAAGGGAATGAGATCTCTTCCCAATACCTATGAAGCCCTTTCTAGCCAAACTGGTTCATCTGAGTGAAAAACCATAGATTTTCTCCTTTTGGCCTGGTAGGTCAGATAATGAAGAGTTGGAAGCAGAATCCAAATTTAAATCTCTATATGATGTCATACTGACATGTTTCTGTAGCTCAAGAACTTCTTAACAGTCCTTTTACAGACATTTACTCATTTATTGCCCCCCCATGACTGTCTTTGTTTGCATTTCCCACTAGTGATCAATACTTTATTGCATGCTCTTTCACGATGAAGGCCATGGAGGATCAAGTAGTCCAAGAAGAACCAGGATACCAGGATGATGAGGTAAATTTGTTATTGATTGAAAACTATGTGCAGTAAATGTTCAAAGGTATTTTGATAGTCTTAAGAAACCCATGGAGGGACAGGAGGCCCCCAGAAACCATCAGGGAGTTCAATGCATCTAAAATTTTGTTCCAGTCTACTACCAAGAAAATCTCATTCCCCTAGTCCCTGTACAGCCTGGCTTTTCAAGTAATTTTCATTAACCTTTCAAAAGCTGTGCACAGTTTTTAATGGGATTATCATTATTTCATCATATTTTACACTTCTGTAGTAAATGCAAGGGATCATCAGCATGAAAAGAGTGAGAAATTATGGTAGAGAAGCTGCAGATTATGATGATGCTAACACAAGTCTTATTAGCACAACAGAGGATAATTGCCTGTGAAGATATACTTTGTGGAGATGATAAGAAACATGTATGTCTTTTTGGCTCACTATGGCTTTGCTTATTTCAGTTGTCCAACAAGCTATGTATTATTTGTGAAAAATCAATAAATGTTTGCAAATCTGAAACAGTCATGTAGCAAGATAGATGTAATAACAAGAAAAAGCAACATCTATTTTTATTTCTGCTATTTTGTTTAGGAATCCTTTTTTCAGGATATTGACCTGCTTCAGAAGCATGGAATTGTAAGTATTAGCAATCACTTGATCACATAGAATTGTCATTGTCCCTCAAAAGCTACTGTAAGGTTGTTTCTAAAATTGTATATACATTGATGCAAATAACTGAAATTCCTCCTTGCAATAAGTTCTAACTCAGTCAGTGGAGACAAATTTTGCCTTTGGTGACAAGACAGATTTTTAGAAAATCTCATTCACATCAGTTTCCTAAATAAAGTGTCAAGATACTCAAAGTATTTAGCACCTAGCACTCTTGAAAAACCAACTGCTTGCTAATTTATTTGAAAACTGTGTGATAGATTATTTCCTGTTCCTGCCAATCTTTGTAATTACTCCTGCATTTTTGGTGCCTGTGAAATCACGCTGTGACAATAGTTACTATACTATTTTCAGCATACTGTGCAGGGGGTAGAGTAGGAGTGAGAAAAATATTAGTTGCTAGAGAAATAAGTGGTTTATTTTCTTAATCAAATGTGAATTCCTATCCTTGTTACCATCATCACATAAACATCACCTATTTATTTGAATTACAATTATTATATGTTTATTTAGGAGACTGGCTCATGTATTGGAATCCTGTTATAATCAGAGTTATAGAAGCAGAATAAAAAGTTGGGTTTGCCTGAAGTAATGTGAGATTTAATAAAAGTGACTCCAGACACACAAAGATGGGAAGGACATATCACAATGACTCATCATTAGTCAGCACTGTAGTTACTGGGCTGACCAGGTCAGCAGTGCAATTGTTGGCAATTTTTTTTTATTGGAAGTTCATTGGCAGTTTTAAAGATAGTTCTGAAGAAGGATCACATGGTTGGGAGTTCAAATTATGGGGCAACATAGGAAAAATAAACAAATTATGCTTAAAAATTTAGCAAGTTGATCAAAGAGGGTGACCTGAGCTGGAAGGGAGCTGTACTACCCTATCAGTATGAAACAAGGCATGGCATTCACAGAATGATACAAATGTATGAAAGAGATTGAAAACTAAGAATAATGGCTTAGGCTGTTCTTCTGGGGTTGTAAAGGTTTTCTGCTCCTTTCAATTATTTTTTCTTCTTTCTTCCAAGTGGTTATTCCCACACCTCAGAGGAAGTTTTTGTTCTGTGCCAGCTAAAAGCTTTATGCAAACATAGGATGACCTATATATGTTAAATTCATTTACCTGGAAAAACAATTTTTGTGGGTTTAGAATTTTTTTTCAAGGACTAGAGAGAAAAATATTTACTGGATCTGCCAGTGTGCCCAGAAAGAGAATCAGATTAGAAGAACTGAGACTGTGATTTGGTGATCAAAAGTGTTTAGTAGGATTTAAGGTGCTGTTACCCCTCAGCCTCTGCTGAGTGTCACACACTATCACAGGATGAGAAATAAGCTTTGAAATAAACATGACTAATTTCTCACACAACCCCCCTCCCTTCTTATGCTCTATGTACCCACACACTCTAGACAAATTGATGATATGTCCAGTTCATAGTTTTTTCCAAAGAAAAATCTTGGCCAGAAATGGTAAATTGATGTATTATCCCACACCTTTCACAAAGTATGCTTTCTTATGAGTAATCTGTTCTTGCTTTTACATTTCCAGTGATGTCAGAATCATAAAATGAGGTGAGGGAAGGTAAAATATGTCAGTAGGGTGCTCTCTGAAGTTGTGCTGTTCCCAATTTATGAAAAACAAATAGCTCACTCCAGCCCAAAGTGTCAGTCACATCTGCAGGATACATATGTTTTAATCTGGACATGCAGAAACAGCACAGCAAGTAGATTCAGTTTCCAGTGATCCTTGTGAATCCCAACTATCCACCACCAGATTATCTGGTTTACAGATTATCTGTGCTAAGGGACCAAGGGCAGACTGAGTGTTATATGGTGTCCAAGGTCCACACTATCTGAAATAATTCTGTACTGTTTCTTTACTATCAGCTTTGATCTAGAAAAGCTGACACTGAAAGGGGAGAAGTAAATACCCAGATATCTTTCTCTCAAAACCACCAGAAGCTGCTCTCTGCACCATGATTCCTTGTACCAATATTACTCAAAATTTTGTTTTGTTGATGTCACAAAATACACAATGAAGAGTTTACTGTAAATCTGTTTCTTTCTTGGTGAAAACACAGGCATATGAGTGCAAACTTAAAATATTTTGCAAAGGTTTATTTCACCTTCCAGTTGTTAACTGTTCTGAGTACTCACAGAAGGGAAATTTCTTTGCAGAACGTAGCAGATATTAAAAAGCTGAAGGCAGTTGGGATTTGCACAATCAAAGGAATCCAGATGACCACAAGAAGGGCACTGTGCAATATGAAGGGGCTCTCAGAGGCCAAAGTGGACAAGATTAAAGAAGCTGCAAACAAGCTTGTTGTAAGCCAGTCACTTTCCTGAGAGTTTGAACTTAATGCTGGCCTCTCCAAAATGCTGTGCAACATTTCTCTTAGCAGATTTCCCACTGCATCATCAAAATAATTTTGAAAATTAGTCTGCATGTTACTTTAAGGCATAATACTTTATACTCCACAACAACCAGATGAATGCTGTGGTGCTTTTTATACTCAACCCATGGGAATGAGGCTGGGAGAAAAGAAGATATTTATATGGGATATTGCACTTTTAACTTTAGGTTAAAGCTAAAATAAACCTCTTGTGTTCTCTTTGGTCTTCCCTAGGAACCAGGCTTCCTCACTGCCTTTGAGTACAGTGAAAAACGGAAGATGGTATTTCATATTTCCACTGGCAGCCAGGAATTTGAGTAAGCTTATCTCTTATATCCTTCCTTCATCCAAATGTTCCAAATAATCATCTTAATTGTCTTTAATGAGACACAGAAATATAAGGGAATAAATCCTCAGCTAGGACACATAGATTCCCCTTACATTTAGAGTTAAAGAAGTCTACATCAATAAGCACCAAAACCAGCTCCTTTTCTGAGGGGAAACTGGACTTTGTACAGTCACTGTAAATAAACAGTTGGCATCCAGAAATCTTGACAGTATAATTTTTTCATCTATCAAAATAATCTGCAGGTTTCAGGTCAAAGTCTTCAAGTCCTCCCTTGAGATATTTTCATGGAATGTTATTTTGAAATATTATTTTCAATATTATTTTCTCTCCTTTCTTTCCAGTAATCATTTGTATAGCTTGTTCCTCTGCACACAAAAAGGGAGATAAAGACAGAGTTAATTCTTTATGAATCAACGATCATTTAGTGCCCTGCACTTAATGTATCAGGGGCTTTAGGGCAGAAATTACTTTCCTTAAAATAGTAAAATGTCTCTTTTTTACTTTCCTTTTGTGATTTTTTTGGGGGGTTTATATAATAATCCTCTCCCTTTCTGCAGTAAACTTCTGGGTGGTGGGATTGAAAGCATGGCAATCACTGAGGCCTTTGGAGGTGAGAGAACCACATTAAATGAGTATTACCAAACAAAGAATTGCAACTTAATTTAGATTTTAGTTCAACTTGGATTACTTATATCAAGTTTACCACACTGTAATTACAAAGATGAGTATCTGCATGAGTGCAAGAAGAAATAATCCACTTCTCTTAGTGTTTTCTAGTTTTTCCTCTTCATTTGCTTTCAGACTAAGTTTGAGCTGAGTCTGCAAGCATGATTACTGAGCATGCTTATTCAGCAAAATGTAGCATTACTAAGACTACTACTAACATGCCAGATTTCTCCCTGATGCAGTGTGACAAAATTGCCACAAAAGGTATTTTAGTTATGCATACTTAAGGTACACCGCATTTAATGTAAGATTTTGGAAATACAATTAAGCTACTGTTACAGTACACCTAATTAGTTGGTCCTTGACACTTCAGCAATAAGAGTTCATAAAACACAGTCGTCTTCCCTTTAGAAGAGGTAAACTGGAGAGTAATGTGTTTTGGTAGAATGAGATTAATAAACTTGTAAGCTTGTCCTTGATCATTTTACTGGAAATGAAACTGGGCTAGGTTAATTGAATCAACCATTTCTTCCCCACCCCGCCCCCCCCATTATCACTTTTCCACAGCTGCCATATGGTTTTAACTTCCATACACAAGAGAATGACTTCAGCAGTCAAGAAGGATCAAATTAAAGCATTTCAGATTTTGCTTTTCATGTAACACATTTCTGCTGCACAGAATATGATTTAGAAATTGAGGTTAAATGATTTTAAAAGGTAGAGAGTGAGGTGAATGTTGTAAGTAAGAGTTTCTAATTGCAGTCATTCCTGAATCTGTCAAACTTGGAAAAAGAAACCTTGACTCTTTTTTTCCCTTCTCTTTATTTAACAGAGTTCCGGACAGGCAAAACCCAGCTATCTCACACTCTTTGTGGTAGGTATGACATCTTAAAATAAGAGTGATGTTTATTCTCAGTGAATCCATTGTTTACAACTCTATCAGAATTAAACATATGAGTAAAAATTCAGAATCTTTTATTTCTACAAATACAGTGAAACAGACCTTGGTGACTCTTACTGCCATAAACCGTGCTTGAGTAGAGAACTCATATAAATGGTTACTTTTTAATAGTGCTCACATCCATGAAAGTTTTGCCATAAGGAGAGTGAAGATAATAGGCTGTCTTAGATAAAACAGTGAAACACACCATCTGGAAGAGCAGAGCACAAATATGGATGACATGTAGATGGGGCATTGCTCAGAAAAGGGCAGAGGCAAAATTTTTTCTCAACCAAAAAAAAAAAATTCTCTATGACTGTCCTGGTTTCAAGAGGTTTTTCTGAATATGACATTCTGAAAGGGCACTGAAAGGGTACTACTGGCTGTCAGAGACTGGATAAACAGGCATTGGCAGTCACCATATTTGGGCAGTGCCAAAACCAGAAGGACCCTGATTTCCCAGAGATATTTCTCAGTGTGTAAAGAGTAGTAAACAAAACCTTATAAAACTATTAATGCTGCTGGAATTACCAGACACTGAGTAGGCAAATTCTCTTAAATTAATCCCTTATATTGTAAAGTGCAATATGGCATGTTCTGGAAAAACAAGGCCTCTTCTGGTTAATACAGTGTAATGGTCAGCAGAGTCATACCCTTTTGCATGAATGATTACAGCTGGATTGAGTATTTTAGCTTATTCACTCCAAAGAGACTAAACCCACAATCAGCAACTATTTGCATATCAAGAAAAAACTCATATGCAAAGAAATTTTGATCATATGTGTTACAGCTGGAAAAAGTGCCTACTAAGTCAATAGAATTAATTTGGGCAGAAGATTTTGTGTAAGAACTCACTAATAACATCCCTAAAATACACAGATTTAGTGATGGTACTGAGTAAACAGTTTTGACACCATTAATTAAATCTCATCTGATCTGCAATCGAGAAAAGCAGCTTCAGCTTAGTCTCAAGAGGGCAGTAAGACAAGATACTCCTGATTTTCACATCAATTAAAACTGACAGTTCTTTGTGATATGGACAAACAGTTGTATTTTATTTTAAAAATAATGATAGAGGGATTAAGAAAATATTTTTCCTGCTTTTTCATTTTAATATTCTATGATTCTCTGTAGTGACAGCCCAGCTCCCAGGACCAAATGGCTACACAGGTGGAAAGATTATCTTCATTGATACTGAAAACACTTTGTATCTTTTGGCTGTTAAAAGTTACAGGTGTGATGAACTGGAAAGTTAGTAATAAGGAAGCTTCATACATGTAAAACATTATGACTGACATTTTGTTGTAAGGAATCTTCATATACATAAAATATGACTGGCACAGAAATTGTGGAGAGCACAGTGTATAGTGGCCCACAAGGAAGTGAATTTTTCTTTTGTCATTTGATGTAATCCAACCTGGAAAAATTAGTTAGGAATTGGATTATATTTTAACTGGGTTTTTTTGTTTGTTTGTTTTTGGGAGTTTTGTGTTTTTGAGATCTAGTAGGCCTCCTACAGGTTATAGCAGCTTTTCTATTCAAGATAAATTTATCTAAGTACTAAACACTATTTTTAACACTTCACATTTGCAGTAGACTGTGTATAAACAGGTTTTGCTCACAGCTGAATTCCTAGAGCACAGCTATCCATATGTCAACTCCCCCCCGCCTCAAACCCTAAACACAAAACAATTACCATCGTGAGCCCTAAACTATCTTTAGGGTACGTGGGACAGCATGAAGACAAAAAGTCAGTCTTCTCTAGGACTAAAATAAATATTCTTCTTTTTTTTCCCCCCATAGTCCTATTTTGGAATGGAGTCTTATTATTTTCAGAGCATGGTTTGCACAAGGAGAAATCCTTAACTCTGACTCATGCCAGCCGACCAGACCGCCTGCGTGACATTGCTGATCGCTTCAATGTTGACCACGAGGCAGTACTTGACAACGTGCTCTATGCACGTGCATATACCAGTAAGACCATTATTGCAACTGGCATGATATCTAGGGTTTTTTCTCTCAGGTACCATTTTTAATAGTTCTCAGTTTATTAACACTTCTCAGTTTATTAACAGCTCAACACACTCTCTGTCACAAGGCACTGCTTTAAAACTTCAAGAAATTTTGAAATAAGACTTCTTTAAGAGTGCAGTATAAACATAAATAATATGATTAAAACATTTTCTGTGTGTCATTTAACTCAATATTAAATTAAAATGTATATATTGCTTTTCAGTTCTTAACACAACAAAAAGTTGTCTTCATGCAGAGTGAAGATTTTCACAAAGAAGTTTTGTGAGATGGGTGAGAGGAAACTGGAACCTGCAAAATATTGTTGCTGGGCATTGCATTTAAAACTGCTGGCAATGAAAACATAACCAGTGGAGACATTTCAAGTGGAATTTTAAAGTTCAGGCTTTTGTTCCGTCAGAGTTCTTTCTGGTCCTAATTTCTCTTGGCAACTGCTTCCCATAGGTGAGCATCAGATGGAATTGCTTGACTATGTAGCAGCCAAGTTCCATGAGGAAGCTGGTATCTTCAAGTTATTGGTACAAGACTTCTATATGCTTACTGTTCTCAGAATAAGTGTTCCTGTTTTCTTTCACTATATTTACTTACCTAGCATGATTAAAATGCAGATCATTGACTCCATAATGGCACTTTTCCGTGTGGATTTCAGTGGTCGCGGAGAGTTGGCTGAACGACAACAGAAACTAGCTCAGATGTTGTCAAGGCTCCAAAAAATATCAGAAGGTATGGGAAATATTGCAAGATTTGAAAAACATGGGCTGGAGTCACTACCAGTAGCTTTTCGTAGCACAACGACTTAGTAGTAGATCCTTCCTCACTTCACACCTCTGTCAGTTACCAAAAAGATCAAACTGATATTATTTCAAGATGACAGATTGAGAAAACGTCTGGACTTTCCAACATTTAGAGTTTTATTAGGAATACTGTCAAGCCCTAAATGACATAATAGATTGTAGAACTGGACAAATACTCAGTAAGAGTAATTGCCTTCCCCAAATTCCAACAGTCTAAATACAAAAGAAAGAGGAAAGAGGATGAAGGCATAGAGAAATGAAAAAGCCATGCCTCTTGCCAATTTCTCAGTACTTTGCAATGCTTTGGGGGATGATGATAGGATGACTAGAGTTCCTTCTCTTTGGAATGTCTCAGAAATGTTGATGAGGAATTAATAAATGTTTTTTTCCTGATGTAAAAAAAAAAAAAAAATCAAACAGAGAAAGGGAAGAAGAGAGAGCTGAGGGCAGGGAGCCAGCAGAGAATAGATGGAAACTGAGAAAGACTTGTTCAGTGGAATTGTAAAAAGTGCTCAATTTTGGTGTATTACAGTTGAAGCCATGCAAGAGCAAATCTAGGCTGTGTCGTGATTAACTGCAGCCATCAGTCATAAAGAATATTTTCTTCTCGTTCACTTAAAATTTGGAGTGCTTCAGCAGAAACCTTGCTTTTACCATGGATGAGAGAATATTTTGGAATTCTAATTGGATGAAGTCTACTTTCTTTGAAATGTCTTCTCTTGCAGAATATAATGTGGCTGTGTTTGTGACCAACCAGATGACTGCTGACCCAGGAGCAACTATGACGTAAAATACTTTTTCTCTCTCTTAAAAAAAAAATCCTGTACTTTGTATTATGTATTTAACAGAAATGAGAACTGAGATTGTAAGGAGCAAGAGACACTGAAATGAAACATCAGTTTGGTCATTGTTTCCTCTGATATTAGGAATTAATACATAAATGACCTTTGGAAGTTTCTCTCAGTTTTTGGAATGAGCTTTTTTGTGTTTATCTGCTGCCTGGTATGGTGGTGTGATTTCACTGTGACTTAAACAAAGAAAATGAGCTATAAAAAATATTGAAAAAGCACCACATTTTCCTTTGGAGCAGCTCATATGTGATATTTAAGGTGTGTATTTCTGGAGCCTCTTATATGTAATGATGTAATTATGCCAGCATTGAACATATGAACATATTATCTTGAGACAAGTATGCAAAAGTCAAGTTTCTAAAGTATTTCCCTATTGATTATTTGTTACTGGGTTGAATAGGGCTCAGTCTGACAGTTAAGCACAGTTTTAACCTCTGGAATTTGCACAGTGAATCACCACAATTTTCTTGCTAATTCAGCTTTCAGGCAGACCCAAAAAAGCCCATCGGGGGCCACATCCTTGCTCATGCTTCGACTACCAGGATCAGTTTGAGGAAAGGGAGAGGGGAGCTGCGGATTGCAAAGATCTACGACAGGTAAACCACCTTTCCCTCACGGGAGAGAAGGTGACAAAGTTCAAGGTATTGAAACTGTCTGGATGGTACATTGGGAGAAAATCTGAAAGGACAAACTAATTAACAGATTAAACAACTGATTAAAGTTGTCTTGCACATTGCATACGTTAAATAACATAATCTTTCATCATAAATCCTACTAGATGCTTAGCTCTTAATGAAGCTTTGGTAGGACTGGTAGTCCCTTGGCAGGAAGATTCTGGACATTTTAAATTCCTAAGTTTTCCTGACACAATAATTTCGCATTTTCTGATCCTGATGATATCGATCAGATTCTACAGTTTGCACATAGGTATAAAGGCACTGAGGTATTCCAGGTCGCTCACACCCACAGCATTTTGGAGACTGTTTCACAACTGCATTTTACATGCAGAAACCCACAAGTTTCTTGTATCTTTTTCGCCCAGCCCTGAGATGCCTGAAAATGAAGCCACATTTGCAATAACTGCTGGAGGGATTGGGGATGCCAAAGAATAGGTAAAAAAATGTAATGTAAATGTACTAAAAAACCAGCAGGGAAGCTGTGATGAAGATTTGTGAAAGCTTGACAACTACCTATGGCTGCATTTGTAGCTTTTGGGAGATATTTAAGATATTTTGGGAGAACACTGGGATAGATTTTGTACAGTTCAGTTTTACTGAACTAAAATTTTGGTCATGTAGGATTTTTGTTTTTCAATTGAACTTTTGGCATGCAAATATTTAAGCCATTAGATTGTGAATTGTTCTTAGAATCCTTTTCCTATCTTTTGTGAAAATCAAACCTGTCCTTTCACATGGGAGTGAATATACTCTTTCTTAATTTATTTCAAAGAGAGTGTCTAAGTGGTAGAATTTATAGTGTGAAATGCAACAGAACTAGAATAATCTCAGTTATAAAATTCACATATATAGATGGAAAAGGCAGTGGGAGGAACAACAGCTCAATAACTTGACAGATTTTCACGTACTGTAGAGGAACAAGTAGTTTTGAGAATATGTTTTTAAACATTTTTATCTTGACTAAATAATGTTCATGTTTTTATTTAGCATTTTCTACTTTTTGGACAGAATGTTTTAAACCTGTTCTTATTAAAGTTAAAAATAAAGACTATGAAGTAGAACAGAAGTCTGACTATGTTTGGGTGCTTCGCATTAAACTCCACTCTCAAAAATCTCATTGATCTTTCATGAGAAAAATATATTATAAAAAAAAACCCAATACATTAAAACCTTTTTCTAGTTCTCTAAAGAAATAAACTTGATATAATTGACTTGTCATTCTTCTAGGATAAGTAAGACTATTAAAGATTAGTATTAAGTAATAGTAAATATTGTTACTATTAAAAAGAATAAAACAAATGCAGTGGCTAAATAGGAGAGGCTGGCACCAGCACTTTTACCAAGGAAAAGGCACTTAAGATTCAGCTTGCTGAGGGAGCCAGCAGCACAGGCACAGCTCTGAAGTAGCCAGAGATGTAGGTCACAGGGGGCAAAAGAAGAAACTGGGAATAAAGATGCAAACAGGGCATTGGGGGCCAAAATAACAATTCCTTTTGCAATATCACCAATGCTCATGGAATCCCTTGCTTTTCTATAAATTAAACAATAATAATAATAATTATAATTAAACATACATACACACACATGGATATAATAGAGAAGTCTTGCTTTGTCCTCTGGTAATTACAGTGATTCTAATTTTGGTATCTGGTCAAAGAAATTGTCCTCACTGGCAAAATAATGTTTTTGTTTAGGTTACCAAATGCAAGTTAAGATAACATCAAGTAAAAAGGTAGCAATGACCAGAAATTAATGGAAAAGAAGCCTGACATTTTAACCAGGCTTTTCCTTGTGACAGACCTAGAGGGCTTGCCTTCCTTAAGTGGTTTCTTAACAGATAGTTGATATTTTTCCTGAGGTAGAGCACTGTTTTTCACAGTGGAGAAAAGTCTAGAGAGCTGTAGGCTGGGAAGCTGCTTCATCTGATAGCACCAGGAATGGATCAGTCATTGCCATTTAATGCAATGTCCAGTCCATTGCATGTGCCAGGCTTTCCCACACTAGGCATTTTTATCCAGCGGCCAAGTACCCAGTGTCAGTGAGAGCATGCAGTGTCACTTGACTCTGTGCCACCCACTTAAAAGACCCAGGTTTCTCTTGCATTTTATTTTAAGCACTCAGATTGCTTTTTGCTTTCTCAAACATGTGATACATACATACATATGTATATACGATGTGAAACTAAAATGGTAATTTCTGTGTCGTTCTAGGCTGTTATTTTTATCCATGGGTCTGAAAGTAAAGGGGACTGTTTTTCCCTTCTGCCAGTATAAGCAGCTTTCGATAACCTGTCAGCCCAGAAATTACTGCTGATAGTGAAACACGGTGTGGGCCAGGGCTGGGTTTGGCTGGGCTAACCCCACCATCTCCTTGTGCCAGGACACACTGACTTGGCAATACCGCATACACAACACAAAAGGATTTATGGTCTGTGCCACGTAATCGCCTCGTGGATGATTCTGCCTTTCAGCGAGGAGTCTCTGGCTCATGTGGGGAATTCTGCCGCGGCCTGCCGGCGCTCAGGCGACAGCAAACATCATGGCTGCTGTCACTCTGCTCCTGCCCCCGCGCCGCGCCGAGATCCCCCTGCTAATCTTACAGGGAATAACCTCGGCCGCCGGAGCCGCCACAGAGGTCCAAAGGGCCGCTCCCGCCCCATCGCCCAGCGTCCCATTATTGTTCCGCCATTGTCCCATCATCGTGTCCTCAACCCCGCCGCCACCTCGGCGGAGCCCGTGGGCGAGAAGGCGACGGGCCGTATTCTTCAAACCGTCTGCGAATCCAGCGTAACCCTCCGGCCCAGCCTGCACGGTCCGCGTAAGAATCCTACGCCAAGCGCACCGGGCTCTTCCCGCCCTACGCTACCCTCAGTTACGCACCTTACGTACGCCGTGCACTTACGTAACGTGCGCCTCGGCCCAGGTATTCTCTGCCCTGCAGAAGGGGTTACGGAGAGCTCCTTACGCAGCTGACTTTGGGGAATAGCGTTACTCCTCCCCTCCGCCTTCCTCACGCGGGGCCCCGGCTCTAAGTAAAGAACGTTACGCACCTTTCGTAGCCCGCCTGCTACTGCACGGGGCGGTGTTTCGCCGAGCGCGCTTAGTGCGTAGTTGAGTTCCGAGAATAGGCGTAGGTGTTTCGGAGGGCCGGAGTTTGCGCAGCGCCAGGCTGCCCGTAACGTAAGCGGAGCGGGCCGGGGCGGCGGCGGCCATTTTGTGCCGGGAGCGCGGAGCAAGAAGACGCTGGTGTCGCCACACTACCCGGGCCCTGGAGCCGACCGAGAGCCCCGCCGTTCCGGCCGCTGACGCCCAGCGGGTCTCGGACCCTCTGACCACCTCTTCTCCTTTTGTGTCCCACCAAAGAGGCGAGGTGGCGCAAAGCGAGGCCTCCGAGGCGCAGCCGCCCCTGGCTGGACCCTCGCCCCGTACCCCCAGTCCCTCGCCGTCCCCACGGCCGGCGTTCCGCTGCCTCTCACCCACCCCTCCGGGGGCGATGAGAGGCTTCGGGGACCGGGGCCGCGACCGAGACCGCGGCGGGTAAGGGGGAGGGGGGGTCGGCACGGCGGGGGGGCGGTGGGGGAAGCCGAAGGCCTGCGTTGGGGGCGGGGAAGGCCGAGGGGTTCGGGGGGTGTGTTGGAGTGGCGGTTTTGGGGGACCTAAAATTCCATCTGTGGAGATTTGCCCCCCTGGATTCTCGTGTGGGGGCGGGGGTAGTTGGAGGCTTATCTGTCCCCAAGGCGAGGTGGTGGGTTTTGAGCGTTTTACGGGTTTTTAAATTATTTGTTTTATTTAGCTTTTCCACCGTCCATGTGTAACTAGTTCTGAGCCTTGCTTGCAATTTTAAGGCCTGCATCCACCCTGCCCCCTTAATTATTTTCTGCCAGCCGCCTTATTTACCCGGCGGGACCCGTGGCACCCTCCCCGCTGCGAGCCACGAAGGTCTCGGTGGCCCTGGCAGGGCTGGTTGTCCTTCTGTCTGCCCTTCTGGTTGTCATTGCTCCTTCTGGACTTACTGGAAAGATGGCAGAGGGGGGAAGATCTGTCTCAGCTGCGCTCCTGGGTTTACCGTGATAGGAAATGGGATTGGAAACGCTGCCCTTTGGGGGACTTGGGCACTCGAGCGGGTGATCTCGGTGAGCCATGGTGCTGGACCACACTCGCCAAGTTTACGTAGTGCTACAGCAATTGTTTGTGTAGTTCTGTAAAGGCCTAGTGCTTGATACTCTTGAATCTGTTATTTAAAGAAGGTTTGGCTTGCAAAAGGCTTTTGCAGGTTTGATTTGATGTGATTTTTTTTCTTTTGACAATGACAGCAGTAAACACAATGGTGTTATACTGCGTAACTAGAGTGAGTTTCGAGCTTTTTAAGCGTTGACAGTAATAAGGCATTCGTGCCAGGCCTTTTTAAAGAGAAAGTTAGAACTAATTTCTGAGAGTGGCATTTTCAGATCATGAGTAGTTCTCAAGGTTTAGCAAAAAAATATAATGTGGGTTCTGCTATATAGTAAGCTAGATCTCAATTAATGAGTCTTCTCTCCATTTTTTTCCTTTTTTTTTCTCTCCCACTTCCTTTTCCTCGTGTTTTCCCTTGCCACTGGCAGATTAAAGAATATTTTGCTATACATTGCAATGCACTTTGACATTCGGTTTCTTGTCAGCTGTGGAGGGAGATAGTTGGATCATTGCTTTATCTTACACCGACATTTAACATCCTGAAATTAAAAGATACTTTCGGTCTTTTTTTTTTTCACAGAGAGGAGGGTTCTGGTGTTTTTCTGCTAAGAGATTTCCAGCTCAGTTTAACACAAGGACATTGGAGTAAGCGCTTTGGCAAGTCTGAGATAGATCAGACCACAGCTGTTTTTGGAGTTTAGTGAGTGAGTTTGAGTATGCAGATTTATATACAGTTACTTATAGAACACTGGCCAAAGCATTGCCACAACACTTGATGTGCCTTAAAATTAGTGTTATTTCATTTTCTGTAAAGTCTTTAATTATAGTGGCTGCTTCTCTTTTAGGTCAGGGGTTTTGCATGAGTAAAAGAAGTGCTTCCATGATTCTTTGTGAAGTCTGTGGATATTTGCATGAAAAATTTTTTTTTTTTTTTTTTTTTTTTTTTTTTTTTTTTTTTTTTTTTTTTTTTTTTTTTTTTTTTTTTTTTTTTTTTTTTTTTTTTTTTNCTTTAATACATTAGGATTCAATTTGTTACATACATCCCTTTAAGTTGTGAAAATATTTGTAACCACTAACAACTATCTTACTTCATAAATAACCTGTATAAAATATTGGGCCTCCCAGTGTGCTGGTTCAGTACCTTATGAAAGTTTACCACCACTTCTTTTGTAGTCTAATCACATAAAAGGGTTCTAGTTTTCTCTTGTCAGGAATGAGCTGTACGTGACTTCTTAGGAAAATTATGTTTTCCTCTGGAATGTGTCAGATTTACTCAGTTCTGTCCCAGAAGTGATGGCAGTAGTAATATTAGGGAAGAAAGTTTTGAGCCACCCTGAATTTACCTTTGAAAAGAGGGCTGTTGGCAAACCAGGGAAATACTAGATTTAAGTCAGTTTAATTTGAGTTGGAATCTCTTTTTACTTGGAGTCAGAATGTGAAGTGTCAGTTACTGCCAGTTTAGCAACTGAACCCCCACAGAGGCAGGGTTCAAGGGCTGCTGTAGGGTTCCTTCCTTTTCCTTTCAGGTCAGGATCCAGGCATATTGTGTGTTAGAGTGGAGAACTGAAACTATGTGACTTCTGTGTAGAATATGTAGTTTTTTTTTCCCTCTGGATAGCTTTAGAGCATGTGTTCATAGTACCCAGCTTTTGCAGTGTCCAGTCTTGCTGGCAGCCCAGTCGTATGTTTCCTTTTCTAAGGAAACTCATCAACCCTTTGACCCTCTAGTGGACTTGAGTAGTTTGGGGTTTATGGGTTTTGTAGGAACTGCTTGGGTACTGACATTTTTGACATTTTGACCTCAGTTTAGCATGATTGGTAACAAACATCATCACTAAAGGTGGATGTCCCTGTAAATGAAAGTCTGCGCCTTTTTTTTTTTTTTTTCTTTGTC